GTCTGAGTGTTTGCCATGACGAAGTTACCCTGAGCAAGATGGGTCACCAGCCGAGCAGCTTCGGCCAGGGTTCCGGTTCTTGCCACATCTGCTCAAACCGCCACGGTCTGATCCGGAAATACGGCCTCAACCGGTGCCGCCAGTGTTTCGGTCAGTATGCGAAGGACATAGGATTCATTAAGTTGGACTAAGTGAACGTCCATGAATGAGTCATTTAAGATATATACCTTATGACAGAATGCTATTATCTTTTCACATAAAATTAAAAAAAAACCTTCAAAAAAAAAAAAAGACAATGGACAGGCTCAGGTAAGGCATACAATGACTCAGGGGATTGAGTGTTGTCCCATGTACCAAGAGGTTGCTGGTTCGATTCCTGGTCAAGGCCTGCAAGAGGCAGCAGATTGATGTTTCTCTAACATTGAGGTTTCCATCTTCTCTCCCTCTCCTTTCCGCTCTGAAATCAATAAAACTATATTTAAAAAAAAGAAAGAAAGAATGGAATCGCCAAATATCCTACTATAGACAGTGATTTAAAAAGCCGTAGCTGGGCCCTGGCCAGTTTTGCTCAGTGGATAGAGGGTTGGCCTGTAGACTGAAATGTCCCAGGTTCGATTCCGGTCATCTTTTCAAGCAAGAACCCTTCAAATGGTGTTGATAAATATGAATATCATTTATATTTTATAGAAATATATGGGAAACCACCTCAGTGAACAACTAGTATCCTCACTGGTTTCGGCAATAAAATATATTTTTAAAAAAGAAAAAAAAAAAAGCCCTAGCCAGACCCTAGGCCAGTTTTGCTCAGTGAATAGAGCGTTGGTCTGTGGATTGAAGGGTCTGGGGTTCGATTCCAGTCAAGGGCATGTACCTTGGTTGCAGGCTCAATTCCCCGGGCGCATGGGGGAGGCAACCAATCAATGTCTCTCTCACATCAGTGTCTCACATCAATGTTTCTCACTCTGTGTCTCTGTTCCCATCCCCCCCACTCTCCCTAAAATTAATGGAAAAATATCCTCCAGTGAGGTTTAACAACAACAACAAAAAAGTAAATGTCCTTCACAGCTTCTACTAGGTTTTCAGAGCTTCTCCCAAGTCTGCAGTTTCTTCAAGTCAACCAGCCTAAATTAAGAATCAACATCCCATAGAGCAGGGGTGTGCAAACTTTTTGACTCAAGGGCCACAATGTTTCTCACTCTGTGTCTCTGTTCCCCCCACCCCCACTCTCTCTAAAATTAATGGAAAAATATCCTCCAGTGAGGTTTAACAACAACAAAAAAGTAAATGTCCTTCACAGCTTCTACTAGGTTTTCAGAGCTTCTCCCAGGTCTGCAGTTTCTTCAAGTCAACCAGCCTAACTTAAGAATCAACATCCTATAGAGATATGTTTTAGGGTGGGAAATGCTCCCCTTCATACTCAAGGAATTGTGTATTTAAAAGAGAAAATTCTTTCCCAGAAATGACTAACAGATTGTCACATATATAGCTGGTTAGAACTGTGCCATGTACCTAAGCTCATTTCACAATGATTCAATCACTAGCAATGGGAATTGGAACCACCAAGGTTGTCTAACACAGATCAATACTTACTAATACACTGGCATATGGGTCATGTTACCAAAGGGATGGGTATTAAATAAAATGGAGATTCAGTTAGCAAAGAAATACCTATGAACATATGACAGGCAAATAGGCAACAGTGTCTGCTGCTGTATACTCAGAGGTGAGTTCAGGCATTGTGTTGGCAAACGTTCTCTGAAAGAGAGATGAACATTTTCCAATTTGCAAACCAAAACCTGTATCACAACAACGCAGTTTTGCCTTTGCAGCGAAAAAAGTGCCAAAAGAGGATACATGACAAATGCACGTTGTTGGTTTATCTTCTGAATTTGTAGTTAGTCAACTACTAAAAATTAAGCCCTAACTGGTTTGGCTCAGTGGATAAAGTGTTGGCCTGCGGACTGGAGGGTCCCAGGTTCGATTCCGGCCAAGGGCATATACCTTGGTTGCGGGCACATCCCCAGTAGGAGGTGTGCAGGAGGCAGCTGATCGATGTTTCTCTCTCATCGATGTTTCTAACTCTCTCTCTCCCTTCCTCTCTGTAAAAAATCAATAAAATATATTTTAAAAAAATAAAAAGAAAAGTTAAAAAAAACCCACCCACACAGAAAGATTGGAAATAGTACCCTGGGCCCTAAGGCCTTCTGTCCCAACAGCAGCCGAGGCTGTAACCTTAAACACCAATAATCCCCCGTGTCCAAAACTTCACCCTCACAAACCTCTCCGGACCACGGACACCGATCACACTTCCTTTATTATACAGAAACCTGAGTCGGACACCCGCATGGGTCGGACACCCGCATGGGACGGCCACCCGCACAGGCCCCAAGTCTCTAAGCTGCCTACCAAAACCCCAACCCGAACCCGACTCCGCCAAAATTCCTAAATGCCTCCGAGATCCCTTACAGGTGGGGTGCCCTGCAGAACCCCAGACCCCGACAGTCAGGACAAGGGCGTGATCTCTACAGACTCTTCATCTGGGCACCGGCCCCGGGGGCACCCCGACCACCAACAGATGCCTCTGGTTCCCTTCAAATACCTCAAATCCCGTGTCCGTGTAGTTCCCCTTAGCAACCTCCTCTCGGGCGCTCCTACCCTCCCTTCCGACCCCGGTGATCATTCCAAGCTCCTCACGACACCACGTGCACACGTCACACTGAAAGAAACAAAACTTCTACTGTGATGGAAACACATCCGGGTACAAAGCCACACACTCACCCGACTTTCTCCCAAGAAATTACAAGAGGAGCGCACATGTGGTATTTCCTCCCGAACCTCTCCAGCTGCTGGACCGGTCTGCTCCTCTACGGTGGCCGATCGGGATCTTGGGCGTTGGCAGTAGCAGGTGACCCGTGGCCGGCTTTCAGCGGCAATATGTCTGCGCCGGAGTCGCTGTGCCGCCACGGAGGCCGCCATGTGGCGGGACCTGAATTGCCGTACAGAAGGCAAAGATGCGAGTTCGCAACCAGGAGCCCGGGAGAGCAGGAAAGTTAGAAGCTCCAGAAATTGTACCCTTTCCTGGCACTTCTACGCTTGTGGAAAAGGAGTGTCTTTTCAGAGATCCGAGGTTCTTGCGGCAAATGGTGCCGTGAGGAAAATATCGGTCAGTGGGCGCTAGGCAAAGAAGTCATATGGGCCCTGACCGGTTTGGCTCAGTGGATAGAGCGTCAGCCTATGGACTCAAGGGTCCCAGGTTCGATTCCGGTCAAGGGCATGTACCTTGGTTACGGGCACATCCCCAGTGGGGAGTGTGCAGGAGGCAGCTGATCAATGTTTCTTTCTCATTGATATTTCTAACTCTCTATTCCTCTCTGTAAAAAATCAATACAATTAGAAAAAGAAGTCATATGGCCTCCGCCTTTATTTTACAGTTTGTGTGTGTGTGTGTGTGTGTGTGTGTTTTAAAAAAATATATTTTTATTGATTTCAGAGGGAGGAAGAGATAGAAACATCAATGAGAATCACTGACCAGTTGCCTCCTGCACGCCCCCTGCGGGAGATGGAGCCCACAACAGAGGCATGTACCCTTGACCAGAATCGAACCTGGGACCCTTCAGTTCGCTGGGCAACGCTCTATCCACTGAGCCAAACCACCCAGGACTAATGCATACCTTTTTTATGTGATTCTAGTTACCATTCTACTAGTTCACGCATGATATTATTATAGCCACTTCATATTAATTACATATAGATCAGCGGTGCTCAACCTGTGGGTCGAGACTCCTTTGGGGGTCGAACAACCTTTTCACAGGGGTCTCCTAAGACCATCGGAAAACACATATATAATTCCATATTGTTTTTGTGATTAATCACTATGCTTTAATTATGTTCAATTTGTAACAATAAAATTGGGGGTCACCACAACATGAGGAACTGTATTAAAGGGTCGCGGCATTAGGAAGGTTGCGAATCACTGATATAGATGGACATAAATATTTTATAATATGGAAATACTTATGAGAAATTAAAATGAAATTAGATTATACATTTTTCCCCAGTTTGAGATATAGTTGACAAAGATTAGACCTACTTTATTTATTTTCATTGCAGGATATTTTTTTCATTGATTTTTTAGAGAATGGAAGGGAAGGGAAGAGACAGAGAGAGAGAAACACTGAGGCACATCAGTTGGTTGCCTGCCAAATGCACCTTGATCAAGGCCAGGCATTGAGCCTGAAACAAAGGTACATGCCCTTGACTGGAATCAAACCCATAAGTCTTGTAAGATTGAGAGCAGAGGGCCCAGGTAAACTGTGTCTCAACTTCTGACTGATAGAAACTGAGATAATAAATGTGTGTAGTTTTAAACCAGTTTGTGGAAATTTGTTTCCCATCAATAGAAAACAAGTACAGTGAATGATACAGAAAATTTTAAATAACAAAACTAGTGAGAAGCAGCTAAACCAGTATATGGAGAGAAATTTATATTCTGGTTTATGCTCTAAACCAGCCGTGGGCAAACTACGGCCCGCGGGCTGGATCCGGCCCGTTTGAAATGAATAAAACTAAAAAAAAAAAGACCGTACCCTTTTTTGTAATGATGTTTACTTTGAACTTATATTAGTTCACACAAACACTCCATCCCTGCTTTTGTTTCGGCCCTCCGGTCCAGTTTAAGAACCCATTGTGGCCCTCAAGTCAAAAAGTTTGCCCATCCCTGTTAGAGTGAGTGGAATTAGAGA